CCATACAAACGACTCATTCACGACATAAACATCACAAACGACCGAAAAAGAACGACCTAACTTTACCGACAGATCGAAACAGACCAATCACGACCGACTTACGTCACTTGAGTCTTACAGCCAATAACATCACGGCAAAACCAACCGATCATTTCACACGAACTGGAATAAGAACATTCTACTGACAACAATCATTCACTTGACTCTGATGATGACTTCCGCACAGGTTGTCGAAACGTCAGTCACTGCCACCGACAACAGTCCTTCTCAGGACTACACTCACCCGGACGATCAGACTACACCTTCACTTCAGTTTCTATGTTTCTCGCTTCCCAAGCTATCAAATCTGGCGGAAAACTTGTTTTATTGTGAGATTAAGTTGCCGGCTTGAAACGGTATCTTACATTTTTTTTTGCGAGAAAAAGCTTGAAATCTTAAGCGAACGAAAAAATATAAGCTCATCCATGTTACCGCGGTTCTGGAAGAGTGACATATGAAAAGTAAGATGATCAAATTGATTCTTAAAAATAAAAAAATTCTATTGTTTTCAAAAAGTACTCTAACCAACGCTAGATCATTAATAATTTTATTTGTCAGCCTCGAAAAATGGATGTCTTGTAACTTAAAAACTGCTGCTTAATTAAAGCACACTGGGAAAAAGTTTTGGAGCAAGCAAAGTCCCTGTGAACAATAGCTTTCTCTGAGAGGTAACTCGTGTAGTTTGACTCAGAATGGAACTAAAACAGATAAAGTGGTACAGCGTGTTCCTCTATTTTCTGGCAAGTGTTTTGAGCCTTACGGACACAATTACAGATATACTAATGGCGATAGAATTTTTCTGCACAGATCACAAGACATGGTTCGCTGTGGTCGTAACTTTTATCATTTTCCCTTGCCTACTCCTTCCAATAGTTCAGGTATTTTGCTTCAACATTACATGCGGATTCGAAAACAGTTGCCTTGGCTCTTGTCCGAGCAGGTGTCATTCATTCTCCGCCGCCTCACGCAAACTTTGAAGTTTGTATACTTTGCTGGAAGACGTTTAGGAAATTTTCTTGCAGTAAACATGAAAGAGCCGACGAAAATCACAACGAAGACGTTGACAATGAAGGACTTGAGAACATTGAAGTTTTCGCTAAGAGTGAAAATTTAAAAGACAATGCTATCGCAAATTGTGAAGCTGTTGAAAACAAAGTTGTTGAAGACAAAGCTGCGAGCATAAACATGAAAGCAGGGCGGCCTTTGAAGGTGTTAAAATCAGCCTTGGAGTCGAAGGAAGCGGCTGTCGGCGGACCGAAGACTTACGACTTTTTCAATTCAGCAAAATTGCTTCGTACGTTGAGGCGTGGACCGAATCTGCTCCTCACTTCATTATACAACTGTATGCCATGAGCGTTCAACAAAAACCAGTTGGAATCCTTCGAATGGTTTCTTTGGCAATGTCTTTACTGAGTTTTACTTGGGCCTACACATCAACCGAGGGAGTGTTTTCAGGGGATGCGGTTAATTTCGACTTACTGAAGTTTAAAATGAAAGCTTCTTATTTCAGTTGTGCTAAATTTAGTTTCATTTAGCAGTCGTCTTTTAGCGATTACTTATTTCACCGTAAGCCATAAATGGTGGATAATTTGTCTACTAGGGTTGCATGCTTCAACGATGATGGTAGCGTTCATTCGTTGGGTGATCACTGGTGATCTAAAATGTATCAACACAATTTGTCACATGTCGTTCGGGTTGGTAACCTTCGGCAGCCTGTACTGGCTGAAAGCTTGCGCGCGTGTTATCGGGAAGTCCAACCGGGAAAAACATGGAGATGGAATGTCCAATCTACTCAACCTTTCAAATGTTCTGTTTTTGATTGAAAACTTAATAATGATATTAGTTTTCTATTTCTGTTCAAATTTCCCACACACACGGTACACTTTGCCAGTCACACTTTATGTGTGTATAACAAGCGCTGTAAGTTTTCTGATAAAAGCAGCAATTCCCATTTGTGGCCAGCACCAAAAGAACAGAATCAGAAAATAAAAAAAGGAAATAGGCTCAAAATATAAGCCGTAGCTAATCAATTCATGGCTAGAAGTAGCCTCTTTTTGACAACTGAAAGAGTGTGTCCTTATTGATAAAGATAGATCAAAACAAGCCACTCATTAGATACAAGACTCATTTTAAAACTTAAGTAAACTCACGTTCTTAAATAATTTGTCTGTTAATAAATAAAAAGATGCAACCGCTGTATGAAGGGTGCAAGAGTTGATTCGCAGTAGTTCTGGCTTGACTGAGAATTTGTACCTGTTTCATGCAGTCTTTTAAGACGCGAAAACAACGTGGCAAGCATAAGGAAAAAACTACGGGGATCTGGTTGTTTCCAGATCCCCGCCGATTTTTGCTCGCTCGCCTTTTCTCCCTTTTCTGTAAAAATAGTATATTAAAATTTCATGTTTGTCACGCCAAATGAACCGTTGACATGAGAAATCATTTTGCTGCTGAGATAGAGGTGTTTCATTCAGTGGGGTAAGTTTACCGTTACTGACTTGCGTGCTTAGCAGTTTTTCTGATGGCTCATTACAAGGCTGGGGAACCTCTGGTGGCTTTAATGCCCATATTTAGTAACGCTACTCAGCTCTGGTAACGTATTCTACGTCTTTAAAACTTTGTTAGCCAACTCACCACGTTTTTTCTGCCCTCGTGATACTTCATAATCCTTCTTCTATCCTCTGGGGAGCGTGAAGCGAGCATGTAGTCTTAGTTAGTAACCTGAAAGGCCTCTACAGGGTGAAATAGCAGATGGAAATAAAGTCTGAAGTCCCAGTTCTCAAATCCAGTCCAAACTCTAGATAGTAAAGCGAGCCTGCAGACAGCCAGTGAACGCACAAAATGGCGGACACGGTTCCATCTTTAGGCTACCCAAAATTTTCCTTAAGTGAACCGCGATTTGATCAAGTAGGTATAATTTTGCCAAATTTAGTTTAAAAAAAATCGCTTAATTTCAAAATCGCTTGATAATTGGTGGAATTAGATGAGTAATCTAGTATTTTTCTGCAACAATGCTCCTTAAAAAAGTACTTTTTGATGTTTACTTCTCTTAGAAAACCTATTTGGGACGATTAAAGCGCTGCCTTGATGTCACAGATCCTAGAACCTTGTTTGTCAGTGAGGTTTGTTTCTTTATAAATTGCTAAAATTCTAATTACTTTGGTTTTATAAACTGTATTGTGAATTGGCCACTGTAGAGAGGTAAAAAAGCTGACATTTCGAGCCTTACTCCTTGTTCAGAGCGGATTTGCTGCGATGAAGGGCTAAAGCTTGAAACATTAGCTTTGTAACCTCTCTACGGTGGCCAATGTATCTAAGTAACTCATCATCTTGTATGCCCCTGCCAATCAGTGCAGCCCCACGGTTTCTTTAGAAACTTACCCTCTTCACTTTATTGGTACAGATAGACTGATAAACAATTCTAGATCTAGAATCCATCGAGACTGTCGTTAGTCTAATAATTCAGTTAATAAGCAAAATAATTATCTCTTTACTCAGCCATATACCATTGGATTGTTTGATTGTGAGCTTGTTTGTATTTTAGAAAAAGCTTCAGGACTCAATACAGCTTTTGAAACAATTTGAAAATGGAACCTTACCTCAAGGAACAGTGGATAAGAAGGTAACTGATGCCAGTTTATAAATTATAATAGTAATCAAAGTTTAATCTTACTCACTTAATTACTATTACTATAAGGAACAGCGGATAAGAAGGTAACTGATGTCAGTTTATAAAATATGATGATGTGAGAAAGTATAACTGCATGATTTCAAAGGCTGGTACTGGATTTTTCTTAGGAGAGGGTGCACCACTAAGAAAGGACACAACTGATGGGTGACATTAACAACATTTTTGTAGAATACCAGTTATATAAGAAAGCTACAGGTCATCTCGGAGGGGAGGGGGGGGGGTTGAGTGGGTCAGGTTTTCATACAAGATGAATGTTACTAATCTTTTTGAGTTTGACATTACTCTTTAGACTACTCAGGATATCTGTATTGATCAGAAAACTTTTGCCAATTAGCTTAATATATCATTTGGGACCCAAAAATGTTACAGTGGTATTGACTTAACATTGCACAAAATTATTTTAAAAAACTAATTTGTTTTCTTTTTTTTTTGATATAAACAAAACGAAAGCTGTGGGAAGCAAGAAAAATTAAGGAGGTAAGTGTATTTTGAGATGAAAATGTAACTATGCTAAAAGGGCCTATGGACATTACCTTGGGTAACAATCTATTTTTATTATCAGTTTACCAATATTAAGACCTTAATTAGGTTACAAAGTATTTCCTTGTCTCTTCTTTAGGCCATCATACATCCTGATACAGGACAAAAGGTCTTCATGCCATTCAGAATGTCAGGTTTGTTGATACATATTTTGTTATTTACCTGGCAGGAGGTCTATATGGAAAAAAAGAACTGTTCTTAAGATAAATAAGAAGGCCAATGGAAATACTCCAAATCAAGGGCAACTTTTTTTCCCATGTCGACCAACATACACCAGTTGATAACCAGAAATGGTATAGAAAAAACTGTGAACTGTGGTCATATTGTCAAAGCAGGACCAGTTACGCGGTCATGATTAGCCAATCACATTTGAGGATTTAAGATTTTGGCCCTCTGAGATAGTTCAGGAAAAAAAAATTAATATATTTGTCTTAGATCTGAGATGCAGCTGGTGTGATTACAACCTCTTATCTTATCGCTGCTCAGGTTTTTTATTTTCCTTCCTAGGTTATGTTCCCTTTGGAACAATCACAGTGAGTTGTATATTAGATCTGTTTCTAAAATATTTCTGTTCTGTCCACACTTAAAATGCATGAATAAGCACTCAGTTTATTTTAAAATAATTATGTAACTCTTAAATTCGTGTTTTATGATTTTCTATAACACATTAGGTTGTAGGAATGCTATTACCTGCACCATCACTGAAGACAGTTATATTTTGGCAGGTAGGTTTGTATATTGTATTCCCTCAAATAAGCACCCATGCTCTGACCGGCACCATCCCCCAAGACCATAATGTCAAACAAGTGCTCCTCTTGATTCAGTGTGCCCCCCTTCTCCTTCAAACAGTGTGGATACAATGAAAATCTTTTTCTATTGCCACTTTGTTTATAACTTTTTAAGCTTCAGCTACAGTGGAATCAGTTCAGGAGAGTAACAAGAGCCCATTTTGATGAGGCACCCTCCATCCAATAAACACGGTCCCTCCTTTTTCTAATTTCTCTTTAGGGTCTGTGAGCTTATTCAAGGAACAGCATTAAAAAATAATGAAACATTTTTTAGCAAGGAGAGGACAATTGTTAGTACAAATTGCAAGGGTGGAGTATGAGTTCTGGCAGAGTCATTAGGCTCTGTTCTTAAGCAGGACACTTACTCTCACGGCAATTTTTTCCCACCCAGGGGTGCAAATGGCACCAGGCTATAGCATGAAAGGTTTAGGAGTGTTGCTCTTCCCCGGATGGCACACTAGACCATTTCAAGTTACTCCACTTCCCCCCTCTCTACCACCATTTCATCAACTTTCACTGACAGTTTTGTGGTACTCAGTTACACATATGGGTAAGGAGGGGTACTGCAAGAGGGATTAGGTTGGTTCCCCAGTCCCACACCTTGTTCACCCCCTTGGGGGGGCATGCAAGTGTAAATTGTTTTGCATAGGAAGTGGTTGAGCACAACCTGTCCAACCTGTCATGTTTGCTATGTAACCTTCTTTGAACATTAAATTTCTCGCAGTTTATGGTTACCAGTAAAACTCATAAAACTGTAAACACCAAGAATGTATTTCTGGATTCTTTTGCGCTACATGGAAAAAGCCAATCAGGGTTGAGAAACCTGAACTGGAAACAGTCAAAGAAGTTAGTAGATGGTTTGATCAGTAAACTGACATGTGGGAACCAATTCAATGTGTTCACAGTTTTCTGCAAGTTTCACTGAAGTTATTGCAAATATTTTCAATTTTTTCTTCTTTTAAGGCTTTTGAAAATTGTTGCATGTTTCTTGTTTCAGTGGATGAACCAAAGTCACAATGCAGCGGTGAACTACTCCAACAGAAATGCAAGCAAGGTTAGAAATTATTTCTGTTTCTTAATTAATAATATACATGAAAATATTTCTCAGTTCTGATTGGTTAAGATGAATGCAGTTATCAGTTAATTAAGTGCAGAAGAGAGTTAATTCGGTGCAAAGAAAGAAACAAACCAGACATTCTGATTGGTCAGAATGATTGGTCAATGTCAATGTCAAGGTCAATGTCAAGGTCAATGTCAAGGTCAGTGTCACTTGCAGCTTTGAATAAATTATTTTTGCACGTGATGCGCACGCTTTTCTTCTGTGTAGTTATGAGAAGCTACCTCGTATTTTTTCTTGTATATTATTAATACATAATCACATGATTTTCTTGTGCAATTTGGAATAAATAATCACTTGTAAATTTTTTCAAAGATCACAAATTGCACTCGCCCTACGGGCTCATGCAATTTTGTTAGTCTTTGAAAAAGTTTACTCGTGCTTATTTATTCCAATTTGCATTTGAAATCATGTGATTACCTATACAAAGAAAAAATAGTCATTGACCCTGTAACGCCCACCAGGGATTAATACGTAACTTCTCTCCAAAATATCCGCACAATATCTAACAATCAGGTAATGAGAATACTCAAACTTATCCGGTAGAAGTTGTTATCTTGATCTAACACCAAATTCTCATGACTAATTTACAAGGAAATATGTTGCAGGTAGAGGGGAGAATTCATAATTGCATCTTGGGCATTTAAAGGGTTAAGAAAAACTCATTTAATGTTTAAGTGAATAACCGTTTTAACTGCACACCAATTTTTGGAACTGGTTGACTAATTTGGTTTCTTTGTAATCTTTTATCTTTAGCCAACACCAACCAGCAGATTTTTGTTAAGTTATTTTGGAGCTGTCACTAGTGCGGTTACAATTGCGGTAAGTCAATTTAAAAATTTTTTTTTCAACACATGGCTGGCTACTAAACCTGGTTAGCTCAAATTGTTGATAAAACACAGTACATGTTTTGTGTAGGTCCTTTGCCTATAGAGCAGTATCTCTGTGGAACATGTTAGATAAAGACCCCAGAAACGTTACATCTGTAAAGGCCTTAAAGAAAGTCCTGAAACTTGCCATGAACAAATGATCGAGTGACAGTTAGAATTTAGAATTTAACAATAGCTTGTCAGATATAGTTAGCATTTATATTTGTAAATAGGTACTGAAAAACCCTTTTTTTTCTGGGAGTATTTATCATTAAAGTTTAAAGTTTACATTCAAGATCTCTATGAAAATCAGCAACGAAAATGATTACTCAGTTTTTCACTTTCTCCATTCAACTAAATGTTCAATCAAGAACAATACTGTGACAGTAGTATAAACTGTTGAGTTATTTAGCGTTGACCTACAAATGTTTTTCCTCTAGCTTGGACTAACTACACTGGTTAAAAGAGCAAAGATTTCCAATCCGTCCATGAAAGCTTTACTTCAACGATTAGTAGCTTATCCGGCCACAGGTATTGTAGATTTAGTTGTGTGTGTATGTGTGTGCTGTGTGCGTGCGTGCGTGCGTGGGTACGCACGTGTGTGTGTGTGTGTGCGTGCGTGCGTGCGTGTTTTGTGCAGTCTTTTTACTTCTTGTGAGCTCGTTTGTTTCTTATTGCTTTACAGCAACTGCAAACATATGTAATGTTGTACTAATGCGAAACCACGAGCTTTTCACGGGAATCGAAGTAAAAGACAAAGATGGGAACGTGGTAGGAACGTCAAAACTAGCAGCTCGAAAGGTAAATCAGGAAGATGAATTTACATTCTTCAGTGCGAGTATACCCGTAATAGATTGCACTACTTTCCACCAGTTTACACGTTGGTTGCGTAACTTCCTTTGCTTATCGGTGTAATGTTTCTTTTGATTTCTCTTTTCCCATTTGTCACCAATGCTTTTTCTTTTTCTCTTCAGGCTGTTTTTGAAACAACTATAACTAGGATTCTTCTTCCTTTACCCGTCTTGGTTATTCCACCGTTTGTTATGCAGCTCTTGGAAAGGTAACATTTGGAATTTGATTTCAGTCGTAGCGATGTTTTTCTTGGTAACCCAAATGAATCCCCTTGTTTGTGCGAATAAGAAGGCATTTTTTATGCCATGCGTGTCTCCATATTCTGAATTTACCACAATACTTCCAATATATATATATAACTGAAAAATATATATATATATAACTGAAAAATATAAATATAACTGAAAAAAACAACAACTGCCAAACAAACAAACAACCAAACAGACTATCAAACAGAAAAAATTTCAGACCAAATTGCACTCTTCATTTAAATTACCGTCATCTAACGGGCGACAATACAACGGTTTAACGTCTGAGAATGTGCTGACTTTGTGATGACACGGGAGGATTAGGTGGCTTGCTTTGAGGTTGTCAGAACCAAGTTCTCTCATAAGAGTTATATTAAAAAAAGAAAAACACAATCTAGTAAGTCATGGAGTTTTAAAATTATAAAGCGTATTACTTTTTTGGTAAAGCTTAAAAAAAAATGGTAAATCGACTGGATACCCGTACTTGAATAAGCTTTGTGTTCGAATAGTCTTGAGCCTTAAGAGTTTTCATTTTCCTTATTTTTGTTTCTTTAAGGGGTATCTATGAACATTTCAATTTTCTTTCGCTTACTTTGCGAGAGATAGGTTGTTTCTTATGTTTTCTTCAGCATTTTGCGCGAGAAATTTGCGTGCGAAAGGCCAGAATTGATCCTCTCGCCTATGCCCGACGTTTGACTGCTGTTTTACCAGTGATAACCCACTAGTTGTTGCTTTTCCCTTTGTTCTCAGGACCAAATTTATGTTATCACGTCCCAAACTTCATCTCCCCGTTCAAGCGCTGGTTTGCGTGGCAGCGTTTGGCTTTGGTCTTCCACTGGCCATTGCCTTGTTTCCTCAGACATCTGAGGTAAGAACATACGAACATTTCTACTGATACATAAACTATGTTCCAATCCTGTGACATGTTTAACCACGTTCTTTACTCGACGAGCGAGACAAAGAAAGAGAGGGAGTTCTCTTGTCCAAACCCAATTATTCCCGATAGCTGAATAACCTTCTCTTCGTGTCCTGTTTCCATAACTTTCCAGAATTCTACCAATCATCCGAGTGTTTTAAAAGATCAGGTCTTGTTAACACGAATAAAGTTCTCTGTGGCATTTTTGAAATACGGCTTTTTTTAGAAAGGTTGTCGGAAAAAGTACAAAAGTACGCGCGACAACCTCGAAAGGTAACCTGGGTCTACGGTAGTCAATGCATTTTAAAGTGTGAAATAAAGAAATCAATTCGAACCCGTCCTTACAGCGACGTTTTCTCAGATTTCCCTGAAATCCTTATTAGATCAAGGAACCGTGACCTGAAAACTACCCACGATACCTTTCGGGGTTATCACGCACACGTTTACACTTTTTTTCCACGACAACCTTTCGAGAAACAGCTGTATTTCTTCCTAAATACGTGCGAATCTCAGACGACACTACCATGTACGTATTTTGGACCAATGAGGGCACACAGATTGCTCATATACGAAACTGATCTCGAAAGTTTGTTAATTTTAGATGAGTGTTATTTTATTTTTTCATTTTTGTATTAATGTTTTCTTTTCAGGTTTTGCCGTCCAAACTGGAGAGTGAAATTCAACAGAAGACAAAAGAGACAAAGCTTTACTACAACAAAGGACTCTGAAACAACTGTGAACACTTTGAAAGCAATCTGATGTCTTCGCCATTGAATTTATAATGTACTAGCCGAGATGATTTCATCAAAGTCTATTCTATTCTTTCTAAGTATTGAAAGCTGCTCAGAGAGCATCAATTTAATTAATTTTAAGAAAATGAATTGAATCATCCATGCAAAATGTATTTGTAATCGAATCGAGGGACGGAATTTTAGTGAATTTCAACTGATAGTTTTGTACAAGCAAAATGCGCTGTCAATTAACTGACAACTTTAAAGAACCAAGTACTGATTTGTCTTGGAACACGTATTCATTTGCTTTTGTTATATGTATTTTTTGAAATGGTTTTAACTGATGCAATGAAACAACTCTGTGGTGTTCCCGCAAAAAGATAGGATGTTTGAGATTCGATCTTAGGAATTTCCCAAAATCATGCGAACGAGACTCATGACGTAACTCCTCAGACCATCGTGAAACAATTTTGATTGGTTGTTGCTCAGTGCTTGGTTCACGACACTCAGTCGAAGAAGGTTGCAGATTCAACTTTCCAGAGAGAGCTTCTTTGTCAGCCAAAAATGATAATTTACAAGAACTGAAGTTTGCAGAACAACAGCAATTGTAGTTTATTCAATTCATTTTAACTCCTTCGTGCTTAACAACAAAAATTACTGAAATGAACTGAAAAAATAATGCTTCAAAAGGAAATATGCAATTCATCAAAGCTGGAGAGCGATTTATTTCTAGGCCGAATATGGCGGCTCGAGATTTCGCGTCACCTCGTCAACGTGAAAAGCTAACAAGCTCATTGAGAATTCTCCAACGATGCAATATCAGTTCAGTTGAAACTCCCTCGGTACCAGGGACACGATGGTTGAACGCGCGTCCACCTCCTGTCGAGGTGATCTGGGAGAGCGATCTCGTCTATTCTGGTAAGGTCGCCTCCTTCTATCCCTCGAGTAATCCCGCTTAGAAAAAGAATGAGCATAGCTTCAGATCTTTATCGGCGCGCGATCCAGGTAATAATAAATCCATTTTCAAAGGAAGGAAGACATTTGTTCCTCTTTCCTTCCCGCTGCTTTTTCTTATTCACGAACTAGTATTTTAAAACAGATCAAGCGAGTATAGAGCACTTTTCAGTTAAGCGTCATTATGGTAACCCTCTCTTTGTTACTTTGCTCTGTGATTGGTCCTGAAAACTCGCGCCACTCTCTCGACCAATCAGATGCGATACTAAAACTTAGTCGCCCGCGTTTCCCGCTCTTCAGGCAGTTTGGTTGTTTTAACTTTGAATTTTGGTTGGCGTTGTAACTACTTTGGTTTTGGCTTTACGACACTTAATCAAAAAGCTCTCTTTTTCATAATTATCATCTAAGGAAGACATACCAGCTTTGTGCTTGATGGGTTACAGTCCTAGTCGAAAGGGATCAGGGGTAATGCGGGTGACCCAACGAAATACTTGGGGAAATGTGAGAGGATGAAGGCTTTTTCTCAGCCACGTTATGCCGATCTCTGCTTCGGTTGGTTCCCGGTCAAAAGTATCGCACGTTGGTAAATTAACAAGCATAGTTTCGAAACTTGCAGGTGGCTAAGTAAGTAAGTAAGTAAGTAATTTTATTTAACTACATATCGCATATGAGCGATAGCTCGTTTAAATGCAAATATGGAAACGCACCCATTCCTCCCCAGGGGAGGACATCCATCACACAGTAATCTCGTGAATGGGAAATTAACGTCTCCTACCCCTAACCCTGCAGGAGACGGAGCCTCCATTTATTCCGGCGTCCCTATCCGAGAAGACTAGACTATCTAACCATTTCTTGATGTTATAGAAAGGTAGAACATATTCTTCTCAATTATTTTAAGACCTTGAGTGTTGGTCCGGCCGGGGCTCGAACCCTCGACCTCCCGCACAACAGTCCAGCGCTCTCTCCATAGAGCTAACTGGGAGGCTACCTTTTGTTACTGGTAATACTTACCGAAGGACCCCTGTTGTACTCGTCTTGAGAACTGTCAGAGTCGTTTTCCTCACAACAATCTTCATCTTCGGTGGCCCAAATATCTTCATCAGATGAGGAGTCAGTTCCCTCCGATGTCTCTTGGGACTTTTTATCATCTTTTCCTTGTTCTTTATCTCTTTTCCTTCCAGGCTTTTTATCATCAGATTTGTAAGATTTTCCTGGCTTTCTTTTAGCCGCGTCTTCGCTTGCAGTTGAATCAGAATCCTTTGAATCAACAAATTCAATCAATTCTTGTTAAATGCGACGATGCAAAGATCGAAGAGAGAAATCGAAGAAAAGGTTCACACACAATCAGTTGGTTCTGCAAGGGGGATGACGCTATCTTCTGGATAAATCTCTTTCCAGTGGATAGCACAGTACGTTTTGTTAAGACTTATCCGGCTAGATTGCAATTTAACCAAAAAGTGTTTAATTTACTTGAGTTGTGTGTTCGTTTGTCTCCCTTGTGGTTTTTGGGAATCGATTTAGAGCGAATCATGCGGTTTTTACCTCCTTCCCATCTCCCCACTTGTATCCTTTTGAAAAGGACAAATTGGAAAAGTGGAAGAAATTTGACCGAATATAAAGCAATGAATCGTCTTAGCGTTCACACTGCAGGCAGAGTCCCACGTAACTGAAGCGTGGTAAACTATTTCCTTAGCTAAATCCTAAACTCTTCGCTCTTTAAATGCAACTGTTTTCGCCATATAAGTCTTAAAATTCGCGTAACAATAAAATAGTACAGATGTACTCGAGTTTTTACCCTTGGACCCCAAGTAATCTCCGTTTGTGTGAAATGGTATCTTACCGGCACAATCTCGACAGTTTGAGTGGGTGGCGCGGTGAACGGGCCATCATGCACTTGATTAAAGTAATGTGTTCCGTCTGGTCCCACTGTAAAATCCACCATGTTATCATAAACAAGCAGTGGTGGGTTTTCTCCGCTTGCCTGAACCCAGTGTGGGTTGTAATAATAGTTCCCGCGATAGGAGTGATTCGGGGTGTAGCTCATTGTGAGTGAATGCTTGTTTTGAAAACAAGTCAGTTACAAGCGTATTCGCATAATTCAAATGCGTGGGTACGACATCACAATCGGCTTCGACCGCGCGGTTTTTATGCGCGAATAGCGCGCGCTGATCTCGCTACGCGCGCACACATCGGATGCACGCGCAACTTGTTGAACGAAATGCTGCAACTTGTGGGTGCAAATTACGCGCGTCTGGTTGGCTGAAAACAAGAGCATTTCTATGTAGCACGAGTGCAAATTACGAATAGCTTGTTCTGACAAAATTTCGCCTGTCTCGACTTTTCGTGATGCTTTTTTTCATGTAAATTATTAATAAGTAACAACATAAGCATTTGTAATTGTTTTAAAGACTACAGATTGCAATTTTGTTGTCTTTGAAAAATTTTACCGGTGCTGATCAACAACAAATGGCACTCGAAATCATGTTATAACCTATGTAAGTTTGACGCCATTGCTAGCTGAGTGTTAAAGGTAATCCGCATTTACACTCGTTTAAATGCGTTTCGCCTTAATCTTCCTTTATGGAGTTTGCACTACTTCGACAAATCAGATGAAAAACCCAAACCAATTCTCATTGGTCCCTCAAGACAATTATCTTTATTCTGATTGGCTATTTAATGACACTCGATAGGGAAGCGTCTTTTTTAACATCAAGTTCAAGTGCTTCTTGGAAAGTTTTCGTGTGCAGACTACTCGAAGGCTTAACAGCGACATGCATGGTGCAAAATACTGCCGACCGATATTCTCTCAAGTAATCCACAGTGCGATGAAGGAAAAGCCGGTTGTGATCTAAGGGCAAGTGTTCAAATCAAGGTTTTTACATTTAAAAAACAAGCCAAAAATCTTTGAGGCGCATGAAATCCTTGCCCCCACTTAGGTTACTTCTGCCTTTCCCTCCTCTGCATCTTACCAGAACAAAACTTCATCTTCTAGCTCAAGTTGAGGGTAGTTCTGCATGGCACTAAAGGGAAAGGAGACTCAAAATAAACTAACCAAAGCTTGATTCACACTAGTGATAAAGACATAACGCCATGAGCCAAACACCATGGAAAGGTCAACTATATCGCTGTGTTCTTAGTGTGAACATGGAGACATATGAGTCTCAACATGACATTGACAAAGCTGAATGTTTCACACTAGCTCTAAGAGGGAATGAGGACGTTACAAAAGGTCGTTGTGTTGTCTATGTGAACATTGCAGAAATTACGCCGTAGCACCAAACTAACATGAACGCGAGAACATAAGGAAAGAAAAATGATTTTTCCCTTTCGCTGTTAAGCCGTTAGAGCAAGAGAAATCTGAGAATGCTTTATTTTCGCATGAATTTGCTGTCATTGGTCCAAAAACTCGCGCCACTCCCTCAGCCAATCAAGTGCAAAACGATAGCCAATTATGACAAGGGCGCCCGTGTTTTCCCGCTCTTCAGGCAGTTGGGTTGTTTCAACTCCGAGTTCCCATTGGCTCTTAGGGCTTTCTCTGAAAGATTTCCGATGATCGACCGCTGTGATTACGCTGGTTTTGGTTTTACGGCATTCGATCGAAAGGCGCTCCATGTTGCAAAAGCGTATCAGGCTCATGAAACTTTATGTTGAACCGATAGTTCGAGTTGAGAAGCGGCATCAAATCTCCACCTCACTTTATGTAACCAGCACAACCTCCACAGAAGTTGTCAGTCACTTATTTCAATTTTATTTAAGACAAGTAATGTAACCTTAAAGACACTGCAATAACTGTACTAAACAAGATCATGTTACAGGGTAAAATAATACCGCGTAATGGAAGCGTTTTCAACGCGTGAAACCACTTCTTGCAATTTCATCATCACAGAATTTTAGGTTTGAAAAAAAAAAAAAAATTTCGATTCCTCCATGATTATTTCCAGGGCACGGAGTTACGCCTCTAGTGCAAAAACTTGCATGACAGCAACTGCAAGTCACGCGACATGCTACAAATTAGAGTCTGATTCGGGAACAGACTTAAAGACAACTTTGCTTTGATAGTGCCCACGTGAAGAACGTGCAACTGTACAAATGTTTTCGTAACATAACGATGAAGTTTAGCTCCGTTTTTGGGAAGAAACCGTAGATGAACGCGGACCATAAAAGCTGTTTGCCAAGGAAATCCCAATCCCTTTTCACAAGCTCGAGGAAAGAAAAGCAGGCACTTGACACAAAAATGTTCGTTTCGTCAAAACGCTTTTAAATCAGGGATCCAAAAGCAAAGTACTGATCAAGATTTTGTTGTAATGGTCACAAATGACCACCTCAGTACCACTCAGCTAAGAAAACTAAAAAGTACTGCTCTGAGGTCTTGTCCAGTGGTTAACTGGAATAACCATGTCCACAGAAGTGCCACGTTCAAAGTAAGCACTGGTCATATCCAAACGACTTAAAGAGGCAAAGACGTTTGACGCTGCTATAGTATAAATTAAAATCTGAAATAAATACTCATATAAAAGTTCGAAATGGCGACTGCTTTGTCAAAACTTTACAATAACCCAAATTGAAATAGCTACAGCCTCCCTAATCACTTTTCGTCGTTGTTCATGAGTTCAAAATTAGGGAAGAAAGCTCTATCTCCCCGCGTTGAGTTAAACTGTTAGTGTGACTCCACACTACATAACTACTTCGCGGGTAAACACAAGGCGTCCACTTTCAGTCCAACAAAAGACCCCAAAATTGTAATTCCGTCATACAAACAATGCTTTCTTTGTATGAAAATCCATGAAAATCAAAACAATTGTAAACTTGGATAAATTGCCCATAATCAGAATCAGGAATACTGACAAACTACAAAAGGAATACAGATCTAAAAAATTGCTGCCAATTGCATCAATCTTGTGTGTATTGAAAGCCTCCGTTTACACCACAGAAGATACAGTTTTGGTTGGTTACAAAACCAAGAAATTAAAGTATGATTTTTTCTCAATCCCAGAATGGAACTGATCTGAAATTTTCAATAAAGCAGCATTGACACTTTTTAGCGGCTTTAAACATATTATTCAAATCGCTAATTGTATTCATTCATAAAAAAAAAGTGGAGCATACAAGAACATATACAGAACATATCCATGTCAAATTAAATCGTCGGGAAAATGCATGTTGTTTTCAACAGTCACCAAAACGGTATGGTGGTCAACTGTTAAATTTTTCTCCCTCCTTCGTCAAAACTCGGCATTGCCCCTCGTTTTTCGACACGCAAGTCCGAAGCGAAACGCGTTTGTGAAATTAAGAGTTGATCATCTACGAAAAATAACTTATGATACACTAACAGTTGATTGGGTCTGGAGAACAATTCACATTATCAGTTGCGAATTCCTCTACGCATAGCTTAATTTCTAGTACAAAGTATGATTCGATAGCGTTTAACTACTACTAGATGCAATCTAACAACCTAAAATTGATCTGGAGCTAAAATAGGGTCTAAAAATTCTACATAATCTACAACTTGTCTCTACTCGATTCCCGCACTGAATTCTGGTTCTTGTTTGGCACTATCGTCTTCAGTTTCCGATGTCTTTTCTTGTATTGTCTTTGTGCGCGTCACAATATGGTCAAAGCAGACGTGAACACCATTACTTACTTCTGTGATTTGACCAGACGCATGCGCTCTACAGTAAGAGTTCGGGCATTCGGAGCACAGGACGTTGGCCCATTTACCGCAGTCATCACAGAAGTGCCACGGACATATCCACTTTCCACGGCTTGTCACAGCCCCACCGAGGCAATCTCTGTGGTAGCACTTGGAACAGCCGGACTTGTCGCACAGGAGAAGTTCTCCGCCATCACCGCAGATGTAGCAGTCGTCTTCATGAACTGAAATTGGAATGAAAACTTGTTAAGTACAAAAGCACTTTGGGTTCCATGTTGCGTGCGTTTGTTAGAGCAATTTTCAATTAGGTGTCGAAATTAATTAGGAACTGCAGTGTTTTTTTTTTTTTAATATGCCCTGTGATTAGTCCATAAATTCACGCCAACTTTTTAACCAATCAGATGCCAAATAAAACCAAGCGCGACACGTTTTCCCGCGCTTCTAGCAGTTTGCTTGTTTTTACTTGTCATAGCTGCCTCTGCTTTGATTGATCATTGCGATAGCTTTGATTCAGGATTTACAATAGTCGATCAAAATTCGCTTTGGCATTGCGATCGTGAATCAAAACAAGCCAATTGTTTCTGCAATTCTGCTACGAAGGTTTACCAAACTATACATTTTTTATGTTGTTTTTAGTGCACAAAATCGCTGCGTGTCGCAAGTTAAGGGTCCAATTGACTGAAACATAAAGTAGGTTATAACAAATTGCACCAAGGTTGGCCAGTGCACATACAAGGGAAGAAACACTAAGATTTGCCGGTAATTAATTCTCCTCTTGTTTCCTAAGATTAAGTTCTCATTTTATGCGAGGCATTATACGCATTTTAACAATGTTTTCACTGTAAATTATTTACATCTACCGTAAATTCAAAGTTCCCATCACTAAAAATGCCCCGAATGATGTTGTTATCCGTTTTATCACGAGCAGGGAATGAAGAAATTCCACTCTCAATCGTGGACTCAAACCTCAGACCTTGGGATTTAGAGAAAAGGGGCGCTAATAGCTAGAGTCTGAGGTTGAAATCTTTCGTGAGGGACTGAGATTTCTTCTTTCTTTCACGCGCGCGACAGAACGATAAACATCTCCCTTAGTTACTCCGTGTCTTATCAATAGTGCAATTTTCAATTGAGTGTCGAAAGTAATCCAATTTGAATAGGCTTTCCTTTACTCCACTCTGCGATTGGTTCAGAACACTCGCACCATTCTCCCAACCAATCAGATGCAAAGCTAATGCCAGTCACGACATGGTCGTCTGCGTTTTCCTGCGCCTCAGGCCAGCAGTCACGAATTGGTAGTTCGCGTTTTCCCGCGCTTTAGACCAGCAGTCACTACTTGCTCGCCTGCGCTTTCCCGCGCTTTAGACCACCAGCCACGACTTGCTCGCCTGCGTTTTCCCGACCTTTAGGCAGTTTGGTTTTACTTTGAGCTCTAATTGGCTCGTTATTACATTTGCCTTTCTTCCGATTCGCCGCTGTGTTTACTTTGGATTTCGTTTCCCAACACTCAATCGAGAGGCGTTCTGACAGTAAACTGTTTGTCGGTTTAAAGTTTAACACACTCTCTAATGACTCCTCTAACTCAGTTAACTTAAATAACCTTTAATTTTAAGGATCAAGTTTACGCACACCTTGTCTATGCACTATTGTTTAATGTCAGTCCGGGTTGAAGTGGGCTATATGTCCAAGGCAGGGCGCTATTCAGAGGAGAAGTGCCCGTGAGCTTTAGAGACGCTTGGTCAGTTGCGTTACAACTTGTGCCATGCTCAATAGAGGCTTCAGGATGGACAGCTGGCAGAGGAGGGGGTCGCTTGCGTGGTTCAGTGCACACTGGAGTATCTGAAGCCCAACAGAACATGTTTGCTTCAGAAGAATTTTTTATAAGGAGCTAGCCCACGTAGCAGGCGCTCAGATGGCTGCAAGTCAGCACATTCGCGTCTCCACCGACACGATTGAGTCACGTTTACACTGCATTTTTCTTCTTAAGGAAAACTCTTTGACAGGGGCTTACGCAGAGACAACTTGTCGACAACACTTTTCATTCTCGAATTGTATTCTGAGTAGCATTTTTGATCGAAAAGCCCATTCTAGTTTCCCTTAAAAAAGTTTAACAGATCAACAGCTAGGCCTCGATATAAAAATCTCAATTATTCTCTTCAAACATTCCTCAAGAAAAAAAATAAGAAAAAAATTCGGCAAAACAACAAAACTCAAAACCAAAAAAAATCCCCAGAAATTTTACAAAATCTTAAAATACGTTTTTCTTTCCCAAGCTTAACTTAGGCAGGTTGCCTTTTCTGCCATATTTAAACCCTGGAGTGATCACTTTCTTCCACTAGAATGACAAACTAATTCAAGGCTGGATTGCAGCAACCAATAAGCAACCAAGGATGAAATGGATTTCAATCAAATACAATTCTAAATATTGCAGAAAAGAAAGACAAACAATTTTCTTTTTATACACCTATGCGCTGCCTTTCCAAAAAGAAAATCGATCCTCTCTAAAATTCATCGCAATTTTCTGATACCATAAAAATATCAGGCAACTGGCAAATTCCGCTCTCCACGAGTTTTTCCATGACACTTCACCTTGTTCAAAAACTGGTTAAGTCAGGTTTTGAACTGGGAGGCCTGTCATGAAATATCTTGCAGAGAATAAAATCTTTCCAGCTCTCCTGCTGGGAAAAAAAATCGACAAAATGAAAAAAAAAACAAAAAAACAAAACAAAACAAAACAAAACAAAAGAAAACAAAAAACAAAAAAAAAGGAGACAACATTTGCTGGAGGAACTCCCTCATTGAAATGTGACTTCACATGTTATGCACCCACTTACAGGTATCTGAGCGCATGATAAAAAAGCAGAAAGAAGGCATCATACATGTTGTAAAACGTGGTTGTATGGGAGGCCACGGCTTGTTTTTGTTTTCAGAACAGCATCGTTTTCACAACTGGTACTTTAAATCTAAAGCTTTTAAGCCATCAATAACATTTCATACCCTCAGTCTGGCACAACCCAAGGGCAGGAAGCTGACTGAAAATCAAACAAATAAACTAATGCGTTCCTCATAACACTTCCATTTGAAAGAAGTTTCTCGAAAGCTTTCAGCTCAAATTAATTTTAAGGTTTAGTATCAGAATTGCAAAGTTTAGTTTCATTAAGCCATGCTTTTAAAAGGCTCTTCATAAAAATTGAGATATTCATCTACTCCACAATTAGTCATATGTAAGCATTTTCAAAGCATATGGCAATTTATCAATATTTTACGATAGAAAGCCCATTTAGAATTTGGATTATTATTTATTACCACTTATTTTATTACATGCATGAAATTTTATTAAAGAAAAGTTTATGTGTTAAAACAGTAGAACAGTAAGTGAAAGCATAAATATTTGAAGCAAGTACATATAGACACATTGGCATTTCCTGTTTCTCAAGTGGAAGGAAACAGCGAGGTTCGAGTATTATGCATGCACAAGCACAAAAGATAAAAAAAGTATATTTGTTTGGCCATGGATAATTCAGGGTTGCCACTCATTAGAACCCACAAATTTCCTTGACTTTTCACTGACCTCAAAACATTTTTCACTGACCTTGAATTAAATTAATTATCAAACAGGCCAAATCCACTTTTAAATTTCTCCATCACTTTTAAGCTTTCTATCCAATTTGCTACACTCGATCGACTACTTCACAGACCTGACTTTTCACTGACTTTCACCAGAACTAAGATTTTCCCTGACTTTTTGCAAAATTCCCTGACTTTTCCCTGACCTTGAAAAATTTTTGTTTTTCCGTGACCGTGGCAACCCTGTAATTACTCCTTCTGCAAATGTACTGGAGACAATTCACACTTCTTGTAGTGTAAACATTCCCATTACTTTTCCTCTAAGCTTCATTGGGTGGGTATGAATTGCCAAGATAGGGATTGACATCGCTATCAGGGCGGCTGCCTACCCACCCCACCCCCCTAACATCACAACAGTCAACTGCTAACAAGCCAAGGTTAATGTCGGGTTAGGAGAGGGTTACACATGTGCAGTTGCTCAGCAAAGAGTGCAACAAGGGAAAGAATTGAACCATTTAGCTGGTTGCAATAAAAAATAAAGGGCAGAGGGAGGGGAGACATTGCACCAACCAGTACCCACTCCTTCCCTTCCTCCACAGAAGAGCTTTGAAGAAGCAGCCAAAATTCTTAAGCAACATATCTACAATGGCCAATGTCTGGACATGAGCCAAAAACAACCGAGTCCAAGGTTGGGTGAACAGGTAAAATTCTGTGTAAAATCTATAAAAATAAGCAAACAGAGTCTTCTTTTGTGGTTTGACATCTTTTTGGCTTTTTCTCCCTTCAAAATTTTTCAGAAATTCTTAGTTGAAGGATAGGACAGGAGTTGATACAAAAGCATATCTAGAAAATTTACCTGTCAGACATGACTTTGTGAGAAAGAAAAGAAAAGAAAAAGAGAAAAAAAAAAAACACCTGTTTTCCTAGCTGGTACCAAATTAAACTGAAAAAGGGCACTGAAAGCCAAAACCGAAAAAAATTCTTCACAGTCTGACAAGGCATCGTCTATTAATTCAAAGCACACCTTCTTTGACAACAGTTTTCTTGATCTTCTTCTTTCTCCTCTTGTCCACTTTTTTAGATTTTTCCTCCTGGATCTGGTTCTTGGGTCTCACTCCAAGGAAGCTGCTACAGTTCTTTGCACCACAATTGCATTTCTTCTTTTCATTTCCTGCATGAAAGATGAAGACAGAATGATCCTAAAGGACAGCAAAGCCACTCTACTTTGCAATGGTTGTTTATATTTACTCCTTTTGACAGGATTCAATTAATAACTGACAGCAAAGTAAAACAGTTTTTTTTGATGGACTAGCATCTAATTTCTCGTTACAATACAATCCCTGTATCACTCATCAATGTCCTGAGAATAACAGAAATGATCACCACCTAAAGATGCTCTTGATTCTTAGACAAATTCTCCTTGTCAGCACCTCAGGAAATGTATAGAGAACCTTATGGAGAATATACATTCTGATGTTAGGGTGTAAAGAGTATACATGTTATTTGAAAGCACAATCACACATCATTAGACGTAAAATTTCAATTACATACAAACATACATTCGTTAGTTGACCACTCCCCATGGGGGCTTTTCAGGGCCAATTCCCACCCATCTCACCCCAGGGGAGGACATCCACTACACAGTAATCTCATGCGTGGGAAATTAACATCTCCTACCCCTAACCCTGCAGGAGACAGGGCCTACGGTTTATTTGCCATTATCCGAGAAGACTAGAATATCTATCCATTTTTTGATTATAGAAAGGTAGCAAATTCTCCTCACTTATTTTAAGATCATGAGTATCGGTCCGGCCGGGGCTCAAACCCTTGACCTCCCGCATAACACAATCTGGCACTCTAACCAATTGAGCTAACTGGGAGGCAGTTCAATACCTGATTAAATCTAACTTAATATATCAATGCCTGATTAAATCTAACTTAATTAAACTGGTTGACCCACCTAAACAATCTAGCTGATAGTCGAAGGTTAGCTCCTCTCCTTCCTTGATATCCCGCGAGGCAAACAACCCCACCCGAACCTCTCCATTCACTGTCCATTTCTGTGTTTCACAGTTTGGATCACAGCTATGATTCATGAACCGTGACAGATTTCCCATGGGGCCAGCATCAATAATGCAATCTTTGTCTATTGTCAGCATGTAGTAGTTAGTGATGTCCTCTCCTTTCCGTACCCGTTCTTGACACGTGGCCTCATCAATGAGTTCTCCAACGTACTCAATGACGAATTGGCCTTTTTTGACATCTAGGATAAAATCAAGGAAGGCTTAAATTTAGTGACCTACAGTACTTTCAACAACACTCTTTTTCAAATGCATTTTGTAAAATGAAAGGCAAAATAATAAAATCAAAAACAAAAGGATGAACATCAAGATGAGCCAATGGAACTTGAAGTAATAGAGGTTTCAATATAAGGCAGTCACTGATGGTGTACCACTACCTACATGTACAAAACCTGTTACCACTGTCAGCTTACCCTGCAAGCAGGTTCTTGCCCTTGACCCTCTTTTCAAGACACAGCCCCACACTCTTAGGGAAACAATTATTGATATCCCTGACACAAAAACAGCACAAAATGTGGGAAAACACCACTGATCAAGTCCCCATTGCCTTAGTTTTGCCTAATTACAGCATTGCAGAGGAACATAAATGCAATCTCGGCTAGCTTCCAGGTCAACACTCACTAAACAATATCTTTCCAGCATAGGTAGTAGAGGTGACTGGTTATAAAAGCAGGAAAAACTCAAAGACTAAATAAAGCAATGGTGCTCTCTGGGCAGAATCCTTTGTTTGTTTGTTTGTTTGTTTTTTTGCCTTCACACAATGTGACTAAATAAACCAACACGAAGTCTGGTCAACTGACCTTGATGAGTGTCTGCTGATGTGAAAAAAGTGTCAGAAGGTAGAATTATGTTTCATCTAGGTAATAATTGTTTACTGAATCTCTAACCTTCCTTACAGCGCAGCCCCCATCCACAGTGTAATGTTCTCAAAGGTTCACAATCCACGTATTCCCTCTTCTGAAATTGTTGGTTTTGACACTTTTCCTTTCCAGGGCATCTTGTTGGGTTGCATTCAAACTGAAGCATGCGATTTAGACAGTTTGATTCCGGGCCACAAGAATTTTCACTATCTGAGCAGTCACACATTGGTAGCTCTGATGGGTCAATAACTATTCGCACAGCTGTGGTACACTTATTTACCTTCAGGGAGACAAAAAAAAAAAGGGAAAAAAAAAAACATGTTTACAAACAAAGGTAACAAACAAAGAAAATGGGACAGTCTTATTTCCCACTGTTGTAGCAAATCTCTAAGCCTTTGAGAATGTACAAATGTGTTGTTGTCTTTACGTCATAAGAAGATGGTATGTGCAATGGTGGTAGAATGGATGAGAAATTTGTTGTCTGTTGACGTAGGTGTGTTGAACGTATGAATGTAAGCAAAAGAATGCAATTGAATGCCACAAAAAAATGCTTTCTTTCTCCTTAAAGCCCTGTACAACACATTTCCTGGTATTTGTTTTACCTCCCAAGGTTGCATACCTCTGCAATGGCAACTGCAGGGAATGGTTCAAGGAGGAAAATTTCCCAGTAATCATTTGTTCATTGCAATTCATTCTAACTGGCTATTTGCACTAACAACAACCTTTATGTGTTTATATGGTGCTGGTTTCTTGGACATCTTTTGGAGATCCTGTTCAGCTTTATTTTCTTGAGCTGTCCTCCATTCAGCATATTTATCCTTTGCTTCAACAAGGGCTAAAACAGGAGAAAATATGAACGAAGTTCTAGTGATGTTGTTTTTTCTCTCCCCCCCCCCAAAAAAAAAAGAAAAAAAAAACTGTAATCAGTCATTTTGCAACACATTCCATGACCTATACACATTCTATGAGCTCCTTAGTTTTTCATTACATCACAAACCCTGTTGTTTCAAGGCTTGAAATAATTTCTGGGCTGGTACCAGCCAAGTTGTTAAGTCAATAAATCTACCCCCCCTCCTTGAAAACAAGAATATTCACTGTGCTCTCATTGCAAAAGCAGCTTCATACCCCATGCAGGAAAAGTGATACAGCTGTGTTTAAAAACCTGAACTTAGCTTGGAATGAAATTCTTCTTGACATGGGTAGAAAGCTGGACTAAATGTGCGGCCATCCAGGGAGTTGATTGTAAAAAAAAACCTTTACTTAACTGGACATTTTCTGTTGACCAGCTGATGTTTTGAGCCCTGCATTTGTTTTGAACTTGTAAACAACTGAAGAAAACTTTTGCTAACCTTTTTTGAAAATCTTAGCCAAGTGTTTGCTGTTTCCAGAGTCTGTGGAGCCCTTGTCACCTTCCTGATAGCTAAACACACGCCCTCTGTGAATCCAATAGTAGTCCCGTGAACCCAGAAACATGACAGGAAATTCGCCTGGCTGATGCCGCATGTTCTGGATGTTTGTGGGTACATCGCGTGGGTTGCAAATCTGCGCTGGCCACCACCTGAAATAAAAGGAAAAGAGAAAAAAAAAAATTTTTAACCTTGCAAATACTCCAAACAAATCCTACACTACTAACCTTCTGACCCCTAAAAGTGATTAGCATCTAATTTCTCCTTACAATATCACCCCTGAACCACAAAAGGAGGCAGTGTAGCCGAGAGGTTAGAGTGTCGGACTCGTAATCCGCTGCTCCTGGGTTCGAGTCCCACCCTGACCACTAGATTTGTTTCACGGTAACCCCTTGTTCAGATCCTTGGCAACGCTTGTAAATAGCCAACTGGTTTGCCTCCAGCTGGTTGGGGTTCTTAATGATGTTATGTTCAATTTAGACCATTTGTTTCATTTGTTTGCAAGGACCACAATGGAAACTACTGGTTCACCAGTAATTGTGTAATCCTATAAAAAGACTTTTAATTTTTTAATTAAGGTCAGGAGAATAAAGGAAATGATCACCAACTAAATAACCTCTTGATTGTTACACAAATTCTTGTACTCAGCTCCTTAGAAAATGTAAAGAGTAGAGTAGATATCTTTATTTATACAGGAGAGCCCCTTCAGTGTAGTAAACACTGGTATCAACAGGGGTCCTGTTACCCACCCATCCCACCCCAGGGGAGGACATCCATCACACAGTAATCTCAAGCGTGGGAAATTAACATCTCCTACCCCTAACCCTGCAGGAGATGGGACCTCCATTTATTCGTCCCTATCCAAGAAGACTAGAATGTATAACCATTTTTTGATGTTATAGAAAGGTAGCATATTCTTCTCAATTATTTTAAGACCCTGAGTGTTGGTCCGGCCAGGGCTCGAACCCTCCACCTCCCGCACAACAGTCCAGCGCTCTATCCATTGAGCTAACCGGAAGGGGGTTAGCTCAATACAGAACAGTATGGAGAATATGTGTACCGATGTTACAGTGTAAGGGTAAATTACCACCCTTGAATGATCAGTTCCACTTCAACGACACTCCTTGACCTATCAGATATGAAAACTGTTGTAAAATATGTTGTCTCTTAGTTACTACCAGAATGTGTGCTATATTGGTCAATTTAGCATGCCGTATTTACTGTACATCCCCCTAAATTCAGAAGTTTGTTTGAATCAAAATCTTCCCCATCTAATTGAACCCAGAGAACAAACAGAATAACTGAGATCTTAGGAGTGAAAGAGTCTAGAGCAAACTTCTGTAGTCTCTAATTGCCATTATCACCCTTCTTGCATTATGTGCCAGAATTTTACACTGGATATACTTAGGATTACGATTGTTATATTATTATATTATGAATTATTTTTATCTTTTAACCTGTTCTTGCTGTAATTTTAAAGTAGTAATTAGGATCGGAGATACTAGCTTATAAGCTAATCTAAAATCCGAGGATAAATAAAGTTTATGTATGTATGTATGTATGCATGGAGCTGGAATTGAGTTAATCTTACCTGTACATGCCTAGTTTGACCCACACAATCTCACCATAAAGCAACTCCTTGCCTTCAGTGCAATCTTTGCAAAAGAAATGTCCTTCAGGAATGCCCTCGTAACTGATGCATTCGGGATGAAATGCAGCAGGGCAACTCTCACAACAAATCAAAGTACCTCCAATGGAGCACACAAAACACCAGTTCACATTAACATGAGTGTGATGTGCTTTGTTTTTCTCACGTAAGAAATGTTTTGAACATGCCATGAGATGAGAACTAATTTGAATACAGCCTGCTACTAGGCAGCCAGACAAGTGATATGCTGTAGGACAACGCACACAACGAATCAGTCGTCCTCTCGACACTGAAGACTTGTTTCTAACACATGTACTACAGAAATGGAGTGGGCAGTGAAAGCGATCACCATCAAATTTTGTGCTTTTGAAAGTTTTAACACAATCTTCATGGTAGTACTTTGTACACAATTGTTGACTGCACTGTTTAACATTTCCAGTCTGTCTACAAACAAAACAACAATGGTTTCCTGTCACACATTCGTCGCAAACAAATTTCCCCTTTGGTATAACAGACAGTCCAATACAATCCAAGTGAAAAGCATTTCCACAAATACCCTCACAAAATGTCAGATTGTCTTGTAGTTCACAAACAATGCACACAGCTTCTTTCTCCCTTTTAGATGTTCCTGCATTCTTTACACTTCCCATATCATCTCCTATACTCGATGAAGTGACACTTCCAGCTACACTGCCCTCTTTCTCAACCACACCATTCACCTCAAAAGCTTCCTTCTTCTTTTCTTCCTCCTTTTTAGGTTTGGACTCCAGTTTTGTCTTCTCTCTTACCATCATTTTTTCCTTAACGCGCAACACTGCAACCTCGGTAGAACTTAAAACCTTGCTAGAAGGTTTCCGTACTCTTTTCTTCTTTATGGGTGATTTATCATTTATCTTTGGTGACAGAGGTAACTCTGTCACACCATCTACCTCCTTTTCCTTTTCTACATGTACATCATTTGAGTGATTAGACATGTCCTTTTCTTCCTCACTAACAATAACAAACTGTGGTTTACACGGCCTCCCTCTCTTCCGCTTCCCTTCTGGCTGGTTTTGCTTTGGCGTAATTTTTCTAATTTTCAACTTGAGAGCTGTGCTAGGTGACACGTCCAAGTTTGTTCCAAAAGCAGCAGCATCACCATTAACTTTTGGAGGAGTGCTGGCACCAGCAGTCTCAACAAGTCCATTGCACTTTTCATGCAACTCTGACCCATTTAGATGAAGTTTATCATTCAAACTTAACTTAACCATTAAATCTTCTTGGTCAGTTTTCTCTTCTAATTGATCTGATGAATTTAAAATGTTATTTTGTTTAGAAATCCTTTTCTTTTTCTTCTTTGGTGGCTCCGTATTTTTGAGTGCTTCACTATTGCCTGAGGCAGCCTTTGCTGCTGCCGCTACAGCAGAAAGTTTCCTCTTGCGTTGGACTCGTCCCTTCCCAACCTTCTTTTTGTCATCGTTTGGCCCATTTGCACAATGTAACACTCCATTCATGAGCAGGCTGTCTGCATCTGCTCCCTCTGCATGTCTGAGATCAGATGTTTCATCAGCATGTTCATCAATCAAGCCATTCACTTGCTCTGGCAATGATGCAAAACCATTCAACTTTTTCATTTTCAGGGGGTCTAGTCGTTTCCCCTCGTTTTTGTCATAATACTTAAAAGTGTAACACAGTTGCCGCTCATGTCTGTTCATTGGCTTTGCTTTTTCTGCCACTTTAACTGCTGTTTCCCACTGTGCCACTCGCTTCTGTGCAATTTTGAGTTGCTTTCCATGGAGGGAACTCTCAAAATGTTGACGACCTAAGCAAGAAACAAAAATAAATTGAATAAATAAAACTGCACATAACATGAGTCGTGTTCATTCAGCAACATTTACCGAAAAAAACTCAAACAAACACCACATCATCAGGGTTCCCATTAAGTGCCGGCAGCTGGCTAAAAAACCAGCTACCGTATTTATTCGCCTATAAGCCGAGCGATTTTTCCAACAAATTAAACTGAGAACAGGTAAATTCTCGCCAAGGAAGGGGGTTCGGCTTATAGCCGAGTATTTTCGCCAAAAAATATTTAGGGGTGCTTAACAAGATTCGAAATTCAATGTTTATTCGACTGTAAGCCGAGCGATTATCAACAAACACAAATTTCCGAGTTCACGAAAGGTAGGTACATGTAAATCATTGTTGGTTCTGCTCGACGGAAGCTCGAATCGCATAGGAGTTTCATCCATATATTTGAACAGCCTGGAGAGCGAATGGCCATACCGCTGCCGAAGTGCGATCACGAACCGATGGAACTGGATGATCTTTTCTTCCAGATCTTGTGGGAGTCGCTGGGCAAGGGTTGTCCTAGTGCGAAGGCTGATGGAATGGCTCTTTTTCCATCTCTGGTAGCAACCCAGTGAGGCTCTGAAGTCCGGATCACTGCTCAACTCCTTCGCTTTTAGCCGTAGAATTAATCCGCTTACAGCAATTCCTGTAAAAGATAACAGAGATCAATTGTTTGACTGGTTTTCACGACATGAAAAACTGGCCAATCAGAAGCGGTCATTCCCACGGTTTGTGTAAACATTGCAACACGATCTGACAGATATCAGTTGATCGAAGCTTTTCATTGTTTTAAAGAAGCGAAAGACTTACCTTGACTCCTCTGCTCTGAAAACCAGTCCAGTAGGGTTTGATCCAATTCAGGATACTTTGGCGAAAAGCAGCCCATCGTCTTTCGCTTTGCTGACATTTTAAGCTCACCATAAAACAGGTTCGCTGGATCTTTTCGCCAGCGACGCACCATCGACTCACTGATTCCGTAATCTCTAGCGATGTCGGAGTTGTTCTCGACGGCCTCTGCTTCAGCAACGACTTTTAGTTTGAACGCTAAGTTGTATGAAGAACGACGAACTTTCGGCATGATGATCGATTACGATAACTTTGAAAGAGAGCGATTGTTTGAGACAGGATTCTGAACTCAGGTGAATGTTTTGTTATGTCACGCATGGTTCTATTTATTTACACATTAAATTCAACTTATCTGTGATTTGTTGTTACTTTCAATTAAACGACCAATAACAACTGAGTAAATAACCTACTTTTTGGTTACATGTTTCCCGAGAGGGAAGCTCCTTTTGTTTTCGGTTTATGTTAATTCATCTCAGTTAACGACACGCGTGGAGTACTTTGCAATTATTAGGTCTCGGCTTATAGCCGAATGTTTTGTGTTTATTTTTTATTTCAATGCAACAGCTGCTGACATGAAGAAGTTTAGGGTCTCGGCTTATAGCCGAGATCGGCTTATAGGCGAATAAATACGGTACTTTAAATTCAGAGCCGCCTACTTTTTGGTGATAAGCTTCCCTCCTTATTTTGTATCTACACGTAGATTTCAAAGTTAAAAATTGCATGAATCCAACGAGTAATACTTTGAAGCTCTTTTCAGCAGCAAAACGTATTAAGCAATGCCAATGCACACCTCCCTTCTGCGAAATTCCGCCGACTGGTGTTTGTTGTCAACAAGTGCGGTGTGGTGTTCGGCGTGTTAGAAAAAGGCATGAATTCTTACTATGTAATTAATTATAGAGTACCTATGAGTAAAAGAAAACCCACTTCAAGCCAGCCTGGAATTAATCGACATATCTGTAAATCACGAAAAACGGAAAGCCAGGTAGATGAAGGTGAGAAAACTACTGCCCTTTTTGGGGTGTAGTCTGGTCCCATTATTAGAATTCCAAGAAAAGAAAGATGTTCAGTAAAAGTTATGGTTGTCTCTAATAAAAAATTTATTTCTTAAAACCAAATTTGCTTGCCAAAAGGCTCAAAATGGCAAATCTAACCTTCTAAATTTTGAAGTTTTTCAGAGGGGGGGGAGGGGAGGGGGCATGCTGCCAGACCCCCTTAGAGGCTCATGCCTGTGGTACTTGCTTCTCCCGCCGCCTACTTTTATGTTTCAGCAGTCTACATCAAAACATATTGAGAACCCAGCATCATTCATCAAATTTTAAGCATTCCTCAATGAAATAATTTCAAAAACATATTTCTTAAATTACTGACATCAATGCAGCAATCATTTGCAACTATTGAGTAACACAGCACTGTGTTTTAGGTCCCAATATCTTGTTTTTGGTCATTGCTAACCCATTCAACTTATTTCTCCCAAACATATCACCCCTAGAGAAGACATTAAGGTCATGAAAATAAAAGAAATGATCAACTACTAAATAAGCTCTTGATATTTAAACAAATTCTCCTTGTCAGCACCTCGGGAATTGTATAGAAAACAATATGGAGAATTTGCACATTGATATTTGGGTGTAAAGGATTAAAAAGAGCTTCCTTTATAACTTTTTACAAAGAACAATTAACACAAAAATCAGAACTGAAAACAGACTATCCCTTTCACTCTATCATACTGAGATCCTGAAAGAGTTTGAAGTAACAACACTGCTATGGTTAAACATTAGCCACTTGTTAATGCTTATAAACACACAACCGTACAACAATGACAATTTGAATTTAAAAATCAGTGAGTACATTCTTCATAAGGCAGGGAGTCCATGGAAGAAGTCAATTGAAATTTGACAAAAAGAGTCAGACAGAAGTTTATCTTTCATGAACTATAAATGTCAAACTAAACAGATCTTGTCAACTGCTCTTTTAAATGTAACTCTTTGATAAAGAAATACAATTTGAATCAAATCAAGATTTCTATCTGAAAACAACATATTACTTGACTAGAGATCAATATTTTTCATTGCCAAGATAAAGTGGTTCTTCCTTCACAAACCGTGAGTTTATTTCAGCACAAATCATGCAGAAGATTCTTAAAAAAAAAAAGGGAAGGAGACAAACTTTTGCCTATTTTGGTTTTAATTAACTTACATGTCAAAAAACAAAAACACAGACTTGGCGGTTGTTGCATAAATTAAGGAGATAAAAGGTGAGTTCTTTGAAGTGACCTAATGCAAATTGAAAGATTGAATTTGAAAAATATATCCTTTCACTACAAACACAACAAGTAATGTACTTATTAACTTTTGTTTTTTATCTGCAACTTAAATTACCAGTACCAAATCAATAATTAATAAACATCCAGAGATTTTTGAGAGGAGTGGAGGCTAACCTGGATATGTCTTGTGAAAACCATTAATTTCATATGCAACTGCCAAAGGTTTTGTGTCAAATATTGACATTTGGACAGCAAAAGGTCATTTATTTTTTGAATAATAATTAAAACTCTCTGGAAATCACAAGGCAGCTAAAACACCTGAAAGGCAAACCAAGTTAAAAATATCCTTTGCTTCACGAATTAACTGAGAATCATCAAAAAACTATTAAGGGAAAATCAAAGGAACCAGTTGCTGATCTACAGATTTGCAATAAAATGTTAACGTAATGACAGTAACTCATAATTGGAACAAATATGAGGTATCTCAACCAGCTGATCTCTTTGCAGATTTTCATGACATGAAAAGATGAAAGGCTCCCTTTCTGGGAACGAATAATGATTACTTATCTATCTTCAAAGTTTTATGTTTTATGCAAAATGTGACGTCTTTGTAAGAAAGCAAAAGAATTCCGCACATGGAGTAGATGAACAAATTGAGAATGAAAATAACATAACACTGACAACGATTGTATCCTGGTAAAATTCACAGTTTTCTTCTCAAACCAGCTGTCGTATTATTATTGATCATGCGCTTGGCGGCCTAGCGTAATCTACGATGGCCGAGCGCCAAAACAGGTTGTGAGCTCAAGTGTACCCAGCAGACTATATACAAGGGAGAGGTATCATACGAAAACAACGTTAGAGAAAGTTCAGATTTGACTCGGACACAAGTCCCTGATTAAATCTAGTTAACACAAGTCGCAATTCGCGACGAATCTTAACAATTTGTTTCAATTATTGGCGAGTGAATTGCCTTGTTTTGAATAAAATGTTGGCAAACATGGCGGAGTAAGATTTGATGGCAAAATTCGCACGCAGATTATTTACCTCCCCTGTTTTAGGCGGCCAAGTGAAAAAAAAAAAAAGGTGTTTAATTACGGCACGTAGCAGGAGTGTGTTAAGGTTAATCTCACAATTATCGATAAAACTTGCGAGGTTAAGGCAAGATTTATCGTAAAAGTGAACCGGTCCAATTCTTAGTACAGCTATCACTTAACCTTCGTACCTTCAAATTTCAAAATAGATCGTTCAGAGACCCATCCACGCACAGGATCCTGGCCGAAGAATTGCACATGGTAATATCTTGCTCTTCCTTTGTACTTGAATGAAACTGCTGTGTTTGGGTCGTAAGAAACCATTGAAGGCCACCATGGATGTCCTGGGATTTTAGACCAAACGACATCGCCGACTAACCAAGAAGCACTTTGAGTAGGGCTCGATGAAGCTTTGCTTTCCTTCGATGCAGGGCTTTCTGAAGGTTCAGAAGAGCCACTGTCATCTCTGGTTTCCACTGCTGCCATCCAAGAAGACGACAGAGTTGAAATCCACGCGGTAAAATTAAGTTAAAACAGTGAATCTTTAGCGGCGTGCAGCGACTCTACGAAGCGTTGCTTGATGGAACAACGGTTCCACACCTCTGATTGGTTCCCGCGACACACATGGCTCAAAATTGGCGGTCGCCGAACACTTATCGACAGTTTGTAGATCTGCGAGTGGAAGCGGGAGTTTCCGAAGATTTGTCGGGTTTCTTTACATTTATGAAACAAATCTTACTAGTGATGCACTGAGAAAATACTTGACAAAATACGAAGGATATTGCTGGAAACATCACAAGATATTGGTAAAAGTATGTAAATCCCAACGATATGGCAGTAAACGGAACTAGATTAGATTTCCCATTTAGATTTTCATTCTAAATGAAGTGCGCACCTCCCTAGTTAGTTGGTTTTGTGTCTTCCCACGACGCTTTGCTGGCGTATTTTTTCAAAATGGCGGACGTCAGAGAGGTTCCTGTCCAAGTCAAAATTCACGTCCAAGAAATCGTCAAGGTTGAATTTGAGATCCAAAATAATGTTCAAAACATACGAAAATGCCAAGGGCCATTAAGTCAACTGAACGACTTAAATTTGAAAGTCAGACAAAAGATCAATTCTTTGAGGCAGAAAGTTGAGGTAAGGAAAAAACGAATTTACACTTACGACTTGTGATTGTCTTTATATTTTTGTGAAATCAGAATGCTACGCTCCGGGTTTTAAGTGAACAGCTGTACTTGAAATTTCCTTTATTGGGCGATAGCTATTTCCCCACAGCCGAGAAAATAATTATGAAGGAATGATCCGAGGGGCTATGATCTTCCTTTATAAATTATTTCGACGTTGGGCAAGGACTAATGAAATTTCATTATATCAAAATTCTAGATCACTCTAATTAAGACTTCGCCATTTAGGATACTTGATGAAAATTGGAAAAAATAATTTGAGAAAATTTTGCCTAAATTCCCACATTCTTCAAAAAAAAGGAAAGGTATATATTCTAATCCAATTCTTAGTTTGCATGTGACGTCAGCATGAATTAAAAAACCGGAAGTCGGCTGTTTTGGGGGATAACCACACACGCTTTGCTTAAGCTGGTATTATTTCACAGTTAGTTTCCCTTATGATCATGCCAAATCTCTGTGCTGTGTTTGGTTATAGCCACAACACCAAACAAGAGAAAGGAAAATTTTAGTTCTTTGGATTTCCTTCTGTATTATTGCATCAGGGAGAGGACACAAAAAAATTAAGTGAAGGCAAAACCAAGTGAGTCTCTGGTTCCTTTTGACAAAATTGCCACAGCGTGCTGTGCACTCACCAATTTATCAGAGTCCTTTGTACCATTTGATTGAGGTGAACTTACAACCAGTTTGATTCCAGGTACTTTATGCACAACTTTTTATATATAAGCCTGAAACATGCGGCCTGAATGCTGAAGGTTCTAGTCGGGCAGGTCATCGGAAGAAGCCAATTTGAAAGCTTTGTTATTCCCCAACATGGTGGCCGCATATGATGTAGCAAATAATTGAAGACAAAGAATAGTGGTTTCTTTTCTTTACATACCACTTGAAAAAAATTACTTGAATGTGTGTATGATACATGTCACAATTTATTTGTTGTGTTAACAACTGATTAAATTTGTCATGTATATAGGGTAGGGTGTTTATCTGGCAATGGGGACTGGAGACTTCTAGGGTAGCCTGCAGAGCAAGCATAATTTGAGGGAACCAGTGGTCAGTAAAATCTTAGCCAAAAATGGCCACCACCAAATTTGTACCAAGGGGGTGAATGATGGTCAAAAACAAGCAAAGAGGGTGGGGTGTGGAGTGAATATTCTGACTCTTCCCCCACCCCCTACCCCCACCCTGACTCTGACTCTAAATCAAACATGGCTGATAAAGGATCATGAGCTAAGGACATGAACTCCCTCTAGTGAGACACTTGTACTGCAGACTAGTCTAGGGCTACTACACACAATTCTGTGGCTAAACTATGATGGCCTGAGTCATGCTTTCTGTTTTGAACTTTTCAGATGTTAAAATTCTGTTTCTGTATAATTTTTTTCCTGCTACTAAATTTCTTGACAAAAATTTTGCTTTAGGGACTAGAGCAAGTGGCATTTGAACAAGACAAAGAATCAGACAGATTAGCAATATTAGCAGCCATGCAGCATCATAAAAAAGAACTGTTAAGGTATCAGCTAATAGTACTACTTTTGACAGGGAGAACCTCTGTTTATACTTTCAGTGCTGTTATTTTTACCATGAATGCTGTTGTAAGCCCAGCCCTTCCTCTTTATTTCCCCTCCCCTCTTTAATTTGGCCCCCTTCCTGATTAGTCTCCTTGTCTAACAAATACCCCTCTCTAACAAGTCTCCCTCTCTTATAAGCCCCCTTCTTCAATGGGCCCCCTCTCTGATAAACCCCCTCCTCTAATTATGTTTCCTCTTTGATGGGCCCTCTTCTCCAATAAGTCCCCTCTCTGAATAGCCCCTTTCTCCAATAGGCCCCCTCTGATGAGCCCTCTTCTCCAATAGGTCCCCTCTCTGAATAGCCCCCTTCTCCAATAGACACCCTCTCTGATAAGCCCCATTCTCCAATAGGCTCCCTCTCTTATAAACTTCCCTCTCTAAAAAGTCTCCTATCGAAAAGGCCCCCTCTCTGATAGGCCACCTTCTTCAATAGGTCCCCTCTCCTATAAGCCCTCCCTCTCTCATAACCCCCCTCTCCGATAAGCCCCCTTCTCTGATCACCCCCTACTCTGATAAGCTCCCTCTCTATTTGGTGCCCTCTTTAACAAGTAATATTCTCTTTAAAAGGTTCCTCTCTTTATGACACTTCTCCTCTAATAAGCCAGTCTCTTCAGTAAGCTCCCTTGCCTGATAAGCCCTCTCTCTGCTAGGTCCCCCTCTTTATTTGGTCCCCCTCTCTAATAAACCCCCTCTCTAGTAAACCGTGTCATTACAAGCCACAAAGAATGTATATTTTTATTCTTTTTTTCCACGCACCCTCAGAATATGGAAAAAACTTCCGAAAGATATTGTTGAAAGCATCTCTTAAGAGACTTTTAAAACTAAGATTTCCAAGTATTTTAATGAGAAACTTTAAACTGGTAGATATTACTGCTATTGTTGTTATTTGATCAGCAGGGATTTGCTAAAGCAAAGGCATAGAAAAAACCAGGAAAGATTTATTACTCGACGTTTCGGGGTCATCGTGACTCCATTATCAAGAGACTAGTTTAAAAACATGCAAATAAGGAAAGGTACAAGAATAGCATAAATTAGACTGAACGGCTTAAACAAACACCTTGGCGCGGATGGAATCCGTTTGCACGTTCAGTGTTGGCTTACGCATGCGAATATACAACATTTCATTAACAAGGCAATCAAATTTGCCGTTACATTTCGTGATGACGTTGAATTGCTCGATCAAGCGTTCAGGCATTTCACTATTGTGCTGGAGGTGGTAGTGTTTGTAGATAGAAGATGATTTCCTT